GTCCCTGCCTCCCGGCCCGAGTCCCGCCGCCCCCGCCCCGCGCGCGCTTCCCGGAACGGTTCCCCTTCCCGTTCGCTTCCGGTTCCGTGCCCCATGATGGCGGCGGCCCCTGCGCCCGGCGGGCTCTGAGCGCTGCGGAGCCGCCCCGCTCCCGCCGCGCCTTCCCCGCTCCGTCCGTGCGGGGCGCGCTGCCGGCGCCGCCGGGAGCCGTTCCCGGGCTGCCGCGCGGCTCCTGCCCGGGGCCGAGGCGCCGCCGCCATGGCGCCGGTGCAGCTGGAGAGCGCCCAGCTGGTGCCGGCCGGCCCCGCGTCAGCCCCGGCCCCGCCGGCCCCCGGCGCCGTGACAGCCGCCGCCAGCCCCGGCTACCGCCTCAGCACCCTCATCGAGTTCCTCCTGCACCGCACCTACGCCGAGCTCACCGTGCTGGCCGACCTGTGAGTGCCGCGGATCGCTCCGTGCCCGGCTGGCCGCGCCGCCTCGCAGCATCCCGGGAGGATGCGAGGCCTCGCCAGGGATCTGTCCCGGAGCTCATCCGGGGCTGGAGTGGGGGGAGATGGTCGCGGTTTCCCATTCATAAAATGGTTTGGTTTTGAAGGAACCGTAAAGATCACCCAGTTCCAGCCCCCCTGCCATGGGCAGGGACACCTTCCACTCACCGGGTTGTTGGGAGCCCCATCCAGCCTGGCCCTGAACCCTGCCAGGGATGGGGCAGCCACAGCTTCTCTGGGCAGCCTGTGCCAGTGCCTCACCAGCCGAACAGGGAAGAATTTTTTCCTGATATCTAGTCTAAACTTACTCTTTTTCCATTTGAACCCATTCCCTATTCTCCTGCTCTCATAAATACCCTTGCCCACCCTCCCACCCAGGCAGATGCCTGTGCAGGCAGGTTGGTTTCTGCATCAGGCTGTGTCCAGGGGCACAGCGAAGGCTGCTGAGAGATCTGTCCTAAGCAGAGAAAATTACTCTGAGAACTAAGAGCAGCTGCAGATTGGCTGATTAAATGCTTAACTTTGCCCCCAAGTTATTGCCAAAAAAACCCCAGTTTTTGGAGTGCTGGTAGTGATACCAAAATATGTGAAACTGGAATGTCTGAAACAGATATTTTCAGATGCTGCAACTCCTTGACTTACCTCTGTAGTTTTTAAAGTAACATGTGATTATTTTTGGGGAATAAGTTATTTACATTTACTTAAAGATTTGCTGTGCTGATGTTATTGTGTTTGAAGTGGCAAAACAAAGGGATGTTTTTGGGCCAAGAAAAACTTTCCTGAAAGCATTTGGGCTCTGAATAAACCTGTTTCCCTCTTTCTTTGTTTAACCATAGAGGTTCTTGTGGGGAAGAAGGCTCAGACTCTGGAAAGGACAAGGAATTTTAGAATTTTCATTCACAGTGGAAAAAACTCCCAAAATATCAGTCAAGAAGTCGTTTCTGTACGTTTATGGCATGTGTAGAATAATTGATCTCAGCAGCCTTCATCAAACTTTTCAGTTAATTTGACCAGTTCCACTTTGCCTGGTACAGAGTAGTAACGGGTGATCCATGGTACTATTTTTTGTATACCTTGTAGTTGTGTAGAAGTTTCTGCAACTGAAGGTGTCTAACAAAATTTCTCACTGTCTGGAATGTAACAGAATGATATATAATACTTCTCTTTTTTCCCCCCTTCTTTCATATAGATTACCAAGAAAGACTGATATGGAAAGGTGAGTTATGATAAGAGAATCTGTAATAAATGTTAAAATACAGAACTTGATTAGGATGTTAATATTGATATACTGTTGTTAAATAAAATCTTTTTCACCTAAGTTTAGATTTTTTGCAAGAAAATAAGCTTTGTTTGTCTTGCTGTGCCTACCTAGTTTCAAGATTTTTTTCAGCATCAACAACAATATTGGGTTTTGTTGGTGTTTGTGTTTGTAGTCTTTGGGCTTTTTTTTGTTGCTATTATAGTAGATGAACTCTGTTAAGGGTATTTTTCTCTTCATGAATCTTGAAGCAATGAACTGACAGTAAAGCTGATGTGAAAGGGACTTTAGAATTTAAGTGGATTTTAGTTAATGTGATAAAGAAATGTTTTGTTCAGAAGAAGCAGTTCAACAATGACAACAAGTTAAAAACCTCTTTTCTGTATTTTTCCATGTTACCTGGTCTTTCTTATCATGAACACTGTTTTGTGCTCCTGTTCTATGTGGTTTTGAAATGTGAAAATTATTAGAGAGCAAATGTGTAAGAGACCAGACCTGCTGAGATGAAACAAATCCATTTACTTTCCTGTTTCTCTTAATAAATATTATTAAATTTGTCAGAATATTGTTCCCGTTATTTGTGTTGACATGTTAATTGACTTAAATTTCTTTAGAGAGATACAGAAGCTATGATATTTCTAAGAATCTTAATAAAGAATTCTGTGTATCAGGGTGATCATTAATTGTTATCTCAAATATTCCAAAGCTCTCATAACATGTGGAATTAATCCCATTTTCATGGACTCATAACCTGGAATGATTACTTGTACCCCTTTTCATTCTGCATAGTATTTTATTAAGAGAAACAGTGTGGGTGTTGATTTGGTTTAGTTTGGGTTTTAAATTATCACAGTATTTACTGAAGAAATTACTTCTGTCCTGGGTGTAGAGCTCCCTTGTGCTCATGGGCAGGCTTTTCCCATTTGATATTTAGCATTTCTAAGTCAAGTTGGATTCTACTTTGTTGGGCACATGGGTGTGGGGCAAAAAAAATCCTAATTGTTTAGAGAAAAGAAAATGAAACAACCGTCAATGTACAAAGAATGTCCTACGACTGAAATTAAATGTTGACATCCTTTTTAGCTTTGACTGAGAACTCCTCTTGGTGAAATGGATTTCCAGTTCTTGGAGGAGCTCATCTGTAGGAATATGGCTTAATTATCTGTATTTTCTCTAGCTTTGAGATGGCTGATGGATTCTGTAGTTGGGTTTCAAGCTCTGTTTCTTGGAGCTAGAGCCTGGTTACATGAAACATATACCCTCTAATAAAGTTCACATAAACTATAACTGCTGTACTACAATACCTATTTAAAAGGTGCTGGGGTAAGAAAAACTGAAGGGAAATTATGCATCATAGTATAATATAGTGCTTTTTTTTTTAGGGCCATTTATTAGTTATCAATTGTAGGAATAAATAACTCTTGCATGAAAGTGGTTGGATTAAAAAAACATTAGTACTGTGGTGGAAAATTAATAGTGCTGAGTTTCGGGGGAAATCCAGGGGCTTTCTTCTT